GGGTGTGCGTGTGAACCAGCTGCCTGTTCCTACGCGGTGCTGCACGAGCCAGGCTGCTGGTGACCATGGGGAACAGCGTTTTTGCAAACTGCTGCAGGCAAGTCACAGATCTCCTCTTCCAGCCGCGCAGCTCTCGCACTCCTGATGAGAGGTCGCCCCTCTTGCCAAAGTCTCCCACGAGCTGTGCCGCCTGCCCGGAGGTGCCAGAAGCTGCCCGGCATGCTGGGCTGTATCCAGACATCATCCCCAGCGAGGCAGTAAAAAATGCGGAAGGGCACCAAGTGCCTCCAAGAGCTGTCTGAGCCCACGGGAGAAGCAGGAGCCGTGGTGGTCGGCGATAGGAGCGGTGCCAGACCTGGCACTGGTGCTGCCGACCTGCCCCGGTGGGCAGAGCCATCCCCTGCGGGGACTCTTGGCGACGGGCCGGCGGGGACGGGCGATCATGCTCAGTCGCCTGGGGCCTGCCAGGGCTGTGTGAAACTTGAGGACAGCGGCTCAGCCCACAGATCCTGCCGCCGGGAGGAGCACGTGGCAGGGGTCAATGCGGGCCCTGGAGCACAGCCTGGGCGGTTAGACACAGCCCTAGTGGGTCTGGACGGTGGGCTGAAGCACAGAGGTCCTGCTCTCTCTCCGAGGAGCCCTGGGACAGCATCCTCTGCTCTGCCAGCAAGTGTGGGGAACGCCCTGCCGGCCCAGAGCGCTGTTGTGCTGCCTGTCCCCCCCAGCCAGGCACCACTGACAGCTCGGGTCGCAAGGGCTGGGTTTGTAGGGGCAGACCCCACTGCCTGCTCTGGCAGCAGGGCGAGCTGCGAGCCTGACTCCCAGGCACAGGTTCTGCCCTCAAAACAGCAGAAGAAGAGGAGGAAGAAAAAGAAGCTCCTGCTCCCAGGTGCTCAGTGGCATGGGGCTCCGTCGCACTGCGTGAGCCAAAACGCTCTATGCCCCTAACGGGGGTGGGTGGCTGCGTATGCCTGTGGGATGGGGCAGCATGAAGGGAGGGCAGGTGAGGTGATGTTTTAACTTCAGGCAGAAGGGGAGGGAGAAAGGTGCTGAGATATCCCATCTGGGTGTGTACCACAGAGGGACCTGTCTGTGCCTTGTCCATGCGAGGAAAGCAAACATAAGGGCGTTTGCTTATCTTTTTCTTAATTCATAAGGCAAATCCCTCTTTTGTTTGTGAGTGCAAGCATGGTCCGTGTAAAGGATGGGAGTGGATCTGGCCAGCCTGCAGCAGTGCAGATGGGAGCACGTGGCAGCGAGGGACCAGCAGCAGGAGCTTTGACTGCCGTGAGCTGCCTGCAGGTAGAGGAGAGGCCTGACCTGCAGGGATGGAGCAGCTCCGCAGTTGTGCTGAGGACGGGATGTTCCTTCTCCTCATTCAGCTGGTGCAGCGTTCCAGTGCTGTGGGGACAGTGTGCCCCAGCTGGTTGTTGCAGTGTGGGAGGGGAGCAGCTGCCCACTCACCTGTCTCTGGCTTCCCTCCTCTCCCACGTCTCCACAAACTGGTACAGCATGGCTGCAGTCTGCACCAGTTCCTCCAGTGTGGCACAAAATGGTAACTCAGAGGCTTTTGTCCTCACGAGAACTTCGGGATATGAGAAACAGGTTTTTTTAAAGTCTCAAGGTTGTATTTTGCCTTTCTGTCACTGTTTTTGTTCAGTCCCTGTGCAGTGGCTGAATTTTGGTCTCAAATGCTGTCTCGTGCACTTGGTTGCGTGACGGGATGTGCAGTGTGACCGACCTGAGCCGGTGGCTTAGTTCCTGGTTTAGCACCCTGTTTGCTTGCCCTGTGCCCACTGGTGTGCCAGGCGTTCAGGCTGCAGCTGGTTGACAGATGTGCAGAAGCTGTGTTGTACTGCTCAGAATTCCATATACCTCTGAGGAGGAAAGGGCAGAATTTGGCACCTCAGAATGGCACTGGAGCCGGTAACAAGAAATGCATTCCAAAACTTGGTGCTGGAAAAGGAAGGGGGTTAATTTTCAGGTTTGTGCCTCTAGCAATCTCTGCAGTTACTAAATGTAGGGAAGGAAACTCCTTACCTACAGAGCAGCCCCGGCTAGCTCACAGCAGCATCACATTGCTGACTTTTTGATGTGATAATCTTAGAAAAGGATGAGTGACTGACTTTGGTTTAGATGATTTGCTCAAACATTCATTAGGTATTAACGAACACTTCCCAGGCCTGTGCTGTCTGTCGCTGTGTGCACCCTCCATCGCTGGGATCTGACCGCTCGGCCTCGCTGTGTAAAGAGGGACTGTGATTAAAGCAGGGCCTGTCACCTTGGCGTGTGAACTCCTTGTCCAGGCACAAAGATGAAACCTAATCCTCAGTCTGATCCTCTCTGCCAGGTGTGAGCACAGACAGGCGAGCGGTCGGTTCCCATGAGGTGGTGCCTGGCAGCTCCTGCTGCTCTCCTGCCTCTGCTCTTGCGTGTGCGTGAGGTTTGCTCGCGCTGTGCTCGGAGTAGCAATGAGAACATCGTGTTACGGCTT